ATCGATTTTTTTAAAAACTGTTGGAAACGAGTGCAGTGCCCCATTCACTCTATTCCCTGCATTTACTCGTCGTTCTATATCCCTATCATATCTACCATCCCTGCTGAATACACATCCCAAATACACAAACTCATCCACTTGCTCGATCAACTCTCCTTCTATTCTTATTTCACATACCGTTTTGTTGTCTTCTCTTTCAAAAACCATCACTTTCCTCTTACTTGCGTTCACTTTCATTCCCCATTCTTTTAATGCCCAGTTCATTAATGTAACCATCATTTGCAACTCAGCCGCCGACGACGCAAATATGACTTGATCATCGGCATACAAAAGGAATTTGACGGTTAACTCGCCCATTCTTAACCCACATTCTTCATCTTTCAAAGTTTGCAAACACCTGTCCATAAATAGGTTGAACAGCTAAGCTACACAGCCCTGTCTGACACCTTTTTGGATGCCAAACCAGTCCGTGTAGACCCCATTGATCCTGACACAAGCACTAGAATCCCTATAAAGAGACCTCAATGCCTATATCAAACAAGCGCTCAACCCATATGAGTTCAGTGTTTGCCATAACACATTCCTGTCCACTCTGTCATAAGCCTTTTCCAAACCCATGAACGCACAAAAAACTTTCTGGTTTTTGGCCAAAAACTTCTCCGCAATCATGCGCATGGAAAAGACTTGATCTGTACACCCCATTCCCTTTCTAAAACCCGCTTGCACATCCCAAATTTTTCCATCAGTTTCTTTCATAACTCTTTCAATTAACACCTTAGCATACAGTTTACCCACAATATTAAGCAAGCTGATTCCACGGTAGTTTTTGCAGTCCTGCTGTGACCCTTTTCCTTTATATATTGGTACTATAACTGCTTTACACCAGTCATCCGGTACCCGTTTTAATTCCCAACATAAATTAAACAAGGTGTACAGCAGGCCAGCCACTACTCCCTCTCCAGCCCTTAGCATCTCGAGTGATACTTTATCATATCCAGCTGCCTTACCTGCTTTCATGCTTTTCATTGCTTTTATTATTTCATCTACACTTATCTCCATACCCCTTTCCACTTTTTTCGGAATTTCTAGTTCATTTAATTCAGACGACTCTTCACTCATAAACACGCTTTCAAAGTATTCCTTCCATCTGTTTAAATTCGAAGCTTCATCATTCAGAATACATCCATTCTCGTCTCTTATAGCATTCATTAGAGGCTGTTTTGTATTTCCCCTGGCAGTTCCTACGAGTTTCCAGAACATTTTTATGTTAGCCTGGAAATTATCAGATATCCTTTTATCATTCTTATCCGTTCTTTCTTTCTTTTAACTTTCAACAACTTTTTTTACTCTCTTATTTAGACGTCTAAATTCTGCCTTTTTTTTTCTTTCAATCTCATCATTCATACCAGAAGAATTACCAGCTTTGGTTGCTAGTAAATCTAACTATGCTTTCTTCTTTGGTTCAACTTCCACCCTTACCTCATCATCCCACCACAACGTATTACTTTTCCTTTCATTTGTTCTCTTACTTACACCACATACTTCGGTGGCGGCATCCACCAAACCTTTCTTAATATTATCCCACACAGTATTCAAGTCTAAATCATTCATACACAACTCATTCAAACATCTAATATTTACTCTCAGTCTACATTTATACTTCTCTTTCACATCTTCATCTTGTAACTTCTCTATTCTTATACGCTGTAACGCTGTGGTAGACACAGATGTCCGATGCCGCCAACGCTTGAAATGACCATTAATTCGATATAAGACCAAGTAATGATAAAAAATAAAAATATAAATTTCTTTGCAACTTTCCGCTAAACATATAAAATGATGTGTCTTACCTGGATTGAAGCGCACCTCCCGCCCTCCCTCAATTGCATACACTAACTCCGTCACCACTATACCAAGCACCACTACTCTCAACACCACTATTCCAGGCAAGACACACCATCGACGATAATACGACACGTGTTTCGCCTCTACACGAGGCATCCTCAGGTAATATAGACTCTACGGCGGCTGACCGCTAAGTAGCGGTCAATCCAGGTAAGACACATCATTTTATATGTTTAGCGGAAAGTTGCAAAGAAATTTATATTTTTATTTTTTATTATAATGGATTTCCGCAAAGTAACGCCTGATTCTATCAATTAACCAAGTAATGAACCGTCCCTACGTTGGACCCCCGGTAAACCCTTGTATCTACGACTGCGCTCCTCATTCTTTCATTCACAATTACGAAATCTATCATGCTTCTATCATCACCTCTTTCCCATGTATACATGTGAATCTTCTTATGACGAAAAAAAGTATTCGTCACAAAAAGATTCTTTTCCACACATACGGTGAGGAGGTCTTCACCATTCTTATTTATACTTTCATCACCAAACGTTCCCAATATCCTTTCATAACCAGACCTCTTCACCCTAACCCTTCCATTAAAGTCTCCTAACATAATAATACTCGTATTTTCATTTTCATTACATTTTGTCAACACCATCCTTACCATGTCCCAAAACTGCTCTCGGATGTAAGTGGGCTTAGACATGTCTGGGGCGTAAACCCCTAGCAGGAATAGCTTCTTTAAGCCCACTTTCATTCGTGGATACGAATGCTATGGATATAGCAGCCTCGGGCTTACACATTCATACTCTTTCACACATTGACCCATTCTTTCTGAAAGGATGAAACCGACTCCCTGGCATGCCCGTTCGGTCTCGCTTACACCAGACCAATACGCGGTATACGTGCCATGTGCAGTTGCATACTTTACCTTTCGTTTCATCTCATTCACACATAACACATCTATTCCTCTGTCATTCATCATTTCGCATACTTCATCCATCTTATCATTCATTCCTCCACATACATTCAGCGTAGCCAGACGGGTTTCCGCAATCTACTTTTCGCCCCTCCGGGAGACAGAACGTGACGGGTGGCGAACCTCGTCGCCGATTTTTCTCCCGGAGATTCTTCGCACCCCTGCCCCATTGAAGGGGCGCCGGGAACTCGGGGCCAGTACCTAAGTAAAAGTATTTAATAATATATCTAAGTAAAAGTATTTAATTATATTTATCTTTAAAATCATATTAAACAGCAAATCGTAAAATAGATATTTCTTGCTCTTACTACGTTATTTTTGATTTCAAATATCACAGTCACTGTAATATTTTTGTAGTAAATACATTGCTCCATAATCAGTACCTTAGTATGACGACAAGTGACTGAACAAGCAATGTAAATATTACAATATGATACTTTATTTATGCAGATATATGGCGTAGTACGGCCGCTGTATCTTGCGACGAGCTAGTTATGTGCTTGTGTAGATCCACTATCGACAAAAATGTGGATTGGTGAATTATTATTATAGTTTATTCTCCAATTTGTCAACCGTTTCAACCCGATAGGAAGACCGACGTGACACAATGTTTTTTACTTATTTTAATTATTTTACAGCAACTAAGGTCGTAAGTCGTGAAGTAAGTTGATTGAATTTTAGGTTATAATTACATTTTTACCTACATATTAATTACTTTTATTACACTATTCTCTGGACATATGGTATTTTATTTATTTTATATTCAGCCAAAAAATTTTAGTACAATTTTGGTATAAATGAAACTATCGTTAAGTTTCCAATTTAGTCAATCACTAACGTATATGTAAAATAAATGGCTTTTTTACAGCACAACGATAGTGACCGATATTTTTGTGTGAGTAAGTGGCACGGTGAATGGTAAATGCACGCTGTGCTTTCAGAGATATGGTTTAAAATTGATTGTGTAGTACGTCCTGATTTATAAAATGCGAGTGTGTGCGTGACTGTGTATCTATTGCTTTTACTGATGTGCATATGTAGTAGTTGGCGCGTGGTAGGGGCCAACTGGAGACACCGGGTTCTGATACATTTTCAACTACTGAGCATATCTCCTTATATATATATATATATATATATATATATATATATATATATATATATATATATATATGGATTTTATCGCGTTTAATTAATTTATTTTTAATTCCCGACGGTTTCGAGTGCTTTAAAGCATCCATGGTCACGGGGGGGGGAGGCTAACTACAGTTTTTGAAAATTAATTTTTGGTCCGATCTTCTCTATTGAAATTAGGATGTTTTTTTTTTTAAATTTCAATAGCCTCGCAAGGATTTATGATTTTATCAAATCCGATGTAATGGTGGGAACGATCTTGAACGTGTTCACAGACTGCAGACTTCCCGGGGCGTCGGTGCTTCACGTCAGTATATGTTCTTTCAGGCGTGTTTATCTAACCAACTTAGATTATAGAAAATCAAAACTTAGATTATAGAATCTAAGATCTCACCAAATAACTTTACCGTCACTTAGATACCGAATATCTTTTATAATTTAAGATTTTTGTCATTTGAATATGCCTAATATACAATCTTCGTAACAAATTTCAAGTTTCTAGATCACCTAAAAGTGGTCTAGCTTTCTGATGAGTAAGTTGGTGAATCAGTGAAAGAGTAAGTTATGAAAATGGAGTCTTTATTATAAACCTATAAGAGGTTCGTTCATTATATATTGAATTTTAGATATTCCGGTATTCCTTAGTAGACATGCAAAATTACAAGGTTTATTAGTATTGTTGCCAGCTTGGGGTTCGTGACAGTAAAAACTGCCAATCGAATAACCAAAATTGACACATTTTTCATGTTATGGCATGGAAATCTTTACTGTGACTCTCCTAGTTCTGGTACTCGTTACTAGAGGGCGCTAGTGGTAACTAATGTCTCCATGTACCAGGCATTAATTATGGCGCGCAACAGTATGTATGTATATATTAGTAATAAGTGGGAGGAGGGGCGGCGGTTCAAAGAAGCTATGTTTCTTGTAAAAATACACAATACTAGAGCATCATCCTTTTCTTTTCCGAATTTTGTTCACACAGTTTCGTGGGTCTTAATTGGCATTCCTCAAAACCTAATAAAAAGCTTCCTATTTCCAGGTCCTACGTGCGAAATGATTGATGGTACTGTAGGCGTTTGCGTACCCAACTACCAATGCAACCCGGAAACAAATGCTATAGACAAAAACACATTCGTCGACCTACGGTAAGGACTACGGTACCTTCATAATAGTAGTAATAATATCCTCCAGACCGAATTTCATTCATGGCGGTCTGCCTCTACGGAGGCTAGCCATTGGCGAAGGACAGGATTATAGTGCCCAAGTGTATGCGCAAGCACATGTACACTCTCTATTCCTTCACTCCTTCCTGACTCCGGGCAGCTACTGAGAATTACCTAACGGAAAAACTCAATGACCGAGAAGGACAATAAACGAGGCAGTCATTCATCATTAAGTCACCTTCATTATAATTATCATCGGAGTATAAAGGTATTGTTAAATACTTTCTTAAAATCAACTTCTCCTGCAAGTGACCAAATAACAGCTAGGCGTTTCAACTAAGACAAGTTGGTCTATGGCAGCCCTAAAATAATTATCTTTGGCTAAGCAGGAATATTTCCCTCCAAGAGAAGGCAACAAAAAAAAATAATAAGGGTGATAAACGAGCACAAAGTCCACCTTATGGTAAGTGGGTGCTGTGACCCATGGACATCTACATTTATCCTCAATTGAGATTCAAAATGCAGATGCGTTGTCACCCCTGAGGACTAAGATGGAATGCCTCGCTTTCATTAGAAATGAGTCTACGGTTTTCTACACTCACCAAACGATACACAGCAGTAATAAGCTGCTATTTTTCGTTGATATTCTGTGAAAGTGTGGTCCTTTCCTGGGCGAGCCGATTCATTGATGCTACAAGCATAATATAGCTGCAGCGTGGCTCTACCACGTATAAATCTTAGTCATTATGTGCAAGTTGAAATAGGTACGTCTTTTGCAGAATTGGCACGTGTCCCCACTACATGCAAGTTTGCTGCTTAAATTCCGAAGTGGCGAAGCCCAGCGAGCCAAAAGAAAAACTACCCATGTGCGGCTGGAGCAACCCTGGAGCAGGCGGATTGAAGAGCGGGGTATAAATAGCATTTCTCTATAGATAAGATATGACCTTAATTTTTTTGGTTTTATGCCTTCGGTTAGTTTATTATTTTTATACATACATACATAAACACTCACGCCTGTCAGAGGCCCAGAGGGGTAGGCAGAGACTACAGACTTCCATTTGGCACGATCCTGACACACCTCTCTCGCCTCCTTCACATCCATACACCTACGCATACATGCTCGTCGGTTAAGGGTACTCCTAATTTGGCCCGTTTTCAATAAATCACCAATTTGGTCGATAAATTTTCGCCTAGGACGTCCCTTTCCGACTCTGCCATTCACTTCTGCAACATAAATTTTCTTTGTCACTCTTTCCTCATTCATTCTTTCCACATGACCAAACCACCGAAACATTCCTTTCTTAATCCTGGTCACAACATCATCTTGCAAACCACACTCTTCTCTTATTACACAATTTCTTACCCTGTCGTTCAGATTCAGCCCTAACATACTCCTATTTTTCTTTTATTTAAATATTAATTATATTTATAAGTACAATTATTTTTAATTAGTTGTTACCCGCTATTCGCGCGTATTTCATGGGTTAATTTTATTGCGCAGTACCCTAATTCCTTTTCTAAAATGAAAGTAGCCTCAGTTACTTCTTATAACATCAGCTATCTTTAAGTAAAATTTTAGCAAAATTGGTCCAGCAGACAGACCGAATAAAATTTAAAAAAAATGTTTTTTTTTTTTGCTATAAGTATCATACAAAATTTCACATGAATTTAGTGTATAGCTGTTACCAACTTTCATTGTCCTCAGGAGGTTATTTGGATGCAGTATGCTTGATTTGGACATAATTCATAGTATGTTTGTCTGCCTTTGTTTGTCACCGGAATACCAAACTAGTTTTTGGTTTATCCATTTTTAATGTAATTAATATAAAATATTTACTAATATCTAGAAATATTACTTAATCTCTACATTTTTTATAGAATAAGGGTGACAAACGAGTACACAGTCCACCTGATACAATAGATTCAGCCATTCCGGTGACAAACAAAGGCAGACAAACATACTATGAATTATGTCTAAAAACTCCTGAGCACAATGAAAGTCGCTTATTTTGATTTTACAGACATTCACATCAAATTTATTTTTACGTATAGATTTATTCAAGGTTATTTTGCAATACACGGCCTAATTTGCAGAGAAGGTTCAGAATAACTAATATAGGCGAATGGTGAAAAAAATTCATCAAAAAAATCTCAAACACGCCGGTGTTTTTATTTCTCAAATTCAGAATGCGTGGTAATGATTTATTTCAACTGATTGTCATTCATAAATAACTAACGTCCACTATTTTTACAATTACTGTACGGCACCTCTATCCTGGGGAGAACCAGCAAGAAACCCAGCAAAGCAGTTTTTCCTATCAAAATCTAAATCTCTGGTTTTGTTCATTTCTATATAATAATGGTTTACAATAGCGTTTTCATAATGTACAACTCTCAGAGTAAGTACTACATAAATATGTTATTACTCTAGAGTATAACTCGATAATAATACACGGTTATTTTTCAAAGGGTAGCCATTTTAAATTTTATACTTAATTTTAAATATACAAATAATGATAAATTGTTATCACAGTTTTTAAAAATACGAGCAAACTATCCCAAATTAGATGTGGGCATCTAATTTGGGATAGTACTACGCAATGGCAACTACTATACGTACGCGCGCTCCTCTGTTGCGATCTGTGCGATTCAATTCACAACGTTCTTGCCGACAGAGCGACCCTTACGAATGTGTTGTACATGTTGTGCTTACTCTGAGAGTTGTACATTACGAAAACGCTATTGTAAACCATTATTATATAGAAATGAACAAAGCCAGAGATTTAGATTTTGTTAGGAAAAAACTGCTTTGCTGGGTTTCTTGCTGGTTCTCCCCAGGATAGAGGTGCCGTACAGTAATTGTAGACTCGAAGGACCACGCTCTCACAGAATATCACCGTGAAATAGCAGCTTAATACTGCTGTGTTTCGTATGGTAAGTGTAGAGATCCGGAGACCCTTTATTACTGAAAACGAGACATTCCGTCTTAGTCCTCAGGGATGACAACGCATCTGAATTTTGATTATTAGTCGAGGATAAATGTAGACGTTTATGGACCAAAGCATTCACTCATCATCAGGTGGACTGTGTGCTCGTATTTTACCATTATTCTATATAAATCATATTTTATTATAATTTATATTGAGCAATTTTTTTTTAATCCTGTTTCGACAGGGGGAGTGAAAATATTGGTACGGCTGATTTTGGGGAGTTTCCTTGGATGGTTGCTATATTAAGGTAAGCATTTCTCTTTTATCAGGTAGTAATTATCCTATATACCATGTAGCGATGGTGTAAGAAATTAGAATATCCACTACCCCATATCATCCCGTGGGTGTCGTAAGAGGCGACAGAGGGAGACAGGCAGGAGATGGGCAGCAGCATCTTCCTAATAACCACTGAAAATATAAAAACTGCGATTGCCAACCCTTTTGCCAAGCGTGGCAAATATGGCAAATATCCATCCTATGAGGCAATCTATTTATATATTGTTTAGCAGTAGACTTCAATAGGCTGTAACGGTACTCTTTCGTTGTAGGAAGGTATTTGCGATAAACATCACGCAATGCACAAAGGTAGTGTGAGACGCTCTCTAACTAGATTTTTTTTATAGAATAAGGATCAAAAACGGGCACACAGTCCACCTGTTAAGTGGGTACTGTGGCCTATAGACATTTACATCTATCCCCGGTTAATAATGAATAATATGCAGATGCGTTGTCGCCCTTGAAATGGAATGTCTCGTAACCAGTAAAATTGGTGTCTTAACACAGCAGCATTGAGCCTATATCTTACGCTGATATTCTGTGAGAATGTGGTCCTTCTCTAGTCATGCCGAGCCATCCGCGATTCAACCATATTAATATAGCAGCGGCGTGGCTCTACCTTGGGCCATACTACCTCTATTGTCGTTGTTAAAAAGACGTTACCCTTCTTCTGATTCCTTTCCCTCTTTTTTCACGGGACGATATGAAGTAGTAGGAACTTTAACACTACACATGGTGAACCTCTTCATCATCGATCTCGATAATTTATAACTAAATGGTATCTCACCGCTTACCAAAGTTAATGGTACTTTATATCGTCCCGTCTGTTCTGCCCTTTTCCATGGTCGCTTCCCATGACACTAACAGGACAAATCGTCGTGATGATTTGCTACGCCACCAGATGGCACTGCATATGAAATAATTAAAGACTTCTATGTATACTACTGGACGAGCAATACGGTACTAATCCATTGTGAAAAATCAATTCTTCAACAGTGACCGCGAATTTTTTTTTTTTGACAAACTAACACTGATTTTGTTTAATGTGACTAAGATAACGCTGACATTATTATTAACGTATTATTTATTATTATTAACATTACTTTTTCAAAGTATTCTCATCTGGTTGGGCTGAATAAATATATAAAAAGATAAAATAAATACTGCCCTCGGCAGGGGAGACCAAACGGCCGAGGGTTAAGGGGAAAGGGAAAGATGTATCGAGGAGCACCGCCTTCTTCATTTAAGCCCGGAGCGGTCCGTCACGGAGTCCCAGTAGACTCAGATGAGCCGAGAGATCATTAACGTTGTCAACGTGATTTAAAGTTTATTTCAGATAAGCATATAACTTTAGAGCCTTGGTAGCTCAGATGGTTAGCGCTCGCTGTAAATTTCACAGTACGCGAGCTAAACGGGTTCGATCCCCACCGGCATCAATAAAATTGTTAATTGCTATATTAAGTGTTGAATTACCACGTGCTCGGCGGTGAAGGAAAACATCTTGAGGAAACCTGCATGTCTGAGAAATAAGAAAAAATTTTTTCGAAGACATGTGAAGTTCGCCAACACGCATTGGGGCAGCGCGGCGGACATTACTTTGCCCTTAAACCCTCTGGCTAAAAGTTAAAGTTATAGGCTGTAACTTTAACTTTTAACTTTTTATAACTTTATTTCGTATTTTCCTGACAACTATAACTGGCGTAAATGAAAATGCAACTGCGTGCCAAATTTACCGTGCCAGTCACCTACCTTGCAGGCGCTCGCGCTCAGCTGTGACAAAGTTTTTGTTTTGAATTGCTGATGTCGTAGTATACATAGAAATCTTTGGAAATAAATGAAGTTGCATGAAATCGGTGGGAGCGACTGTCTCTGGATTCCGCTTTTTGGCAACTGGATTAGTTATTAACGAGCCACGAGTGTGATGGGTGACAATGACGATGAAAACTTGTTGTAATGTTACAGAAATACTGCTCCAGACGTTGACTGGTCACAGGAGGACTATCTCGGAGGCGGTTCCATCATCCATCCTTCAGTTGTGATCACCGCAGCACACAAAGTCGATGGCCTGCTTGAAAATGAGGTATATTATATATTTATTTATTTTAAAACTATTGTGAAAACATGACAGTTGGCAATCTCTGTCAGTCAACCCATTGTGTGGTAAAAACTCCGGTACCGTAATTAGGTTATAAAAATACAAATATAATATATCGTCGTCAGTAAATATATCGTCGTATAAAAGTATTAACCTGATAACTACATTCTTATCGGTTTAGAGTTTTTGATATCATTGAAAAGAGAAAAAATAAAGTAATTCCATAAACACATATATATTTGAACAAATACACATTGCCTTCTCATGCATTCTTACATACATACATATCTTCTATAAATTAATACGTGAAGTGAAAATCTTGTACAACTTTTTTATCATATTGCGCACAGAGAAGTTTGAGATTTGGCATAGTTCAAGTTTACATGAAGTGCAGAAAGCTAAAATATTTGTATAGCATGCGTTACAAATAAATTTAATTTAATTTAATATTCAATTTTTCATCATTCAGAGCCGTGGTAGCTCAAATGGTTAGCGCTCGCTGTAAATTTCACAGTACGCGAGCAAACCGGGTTCGATCCCCGCCGGCACCAATGAAATTGTAATTTTAAGTGCTGATTACTACGTGCTCGGTGGTGAAGAAAAACGTCGTGAGGAATGCATGCTGCATGTCTGAGAAATAAGAAAAAAAAATCGAACACATGTGAAGTTCGCCAACACGCTTTGCGGCAGCGCGGCTAACACTTTCTTGCCCTAAAACCCTCTCAGAAATGAGGGGGAGACCTGTGTCCAGCAGTGGGACGTATATAGGCTGTAAATTTAACTTTAAATATTCATTGTTTACTTTCATACCAGCTACATATTTATTTATGGTTCACTTTGAGTATTAAACCAAAGGAAACGGCATCGCAAGGTATACCCCTCTGTAAAAGGTACGAGAGTCCGCCTCATACTCGATATAAAACTAGTTGCTCCGCGTCGTGCGTCAGTTCGAAGTGATAGTGCCAGTAAATCGAGCACCGACAAAATGTATTTACATGAAAAAAACAATCAAAAACGTCAAGTATACAAAAGAACAATGTGACTTTTCATCTGTGAGTATTTTTAACATAATATTAAAGTAATTTTATCATTAAAACTCGTACTTTGTGAATATTATCGTCCAATACCGAGTGTGGCCGTCATAGTTAATAAAGTGAAAAATAATCTATTTTTAAATAAATATAATTTACTACACAAGTTATATATATTAACTAAAATATATTTCCTAATAACTAAATCAGTTTGTGATGAATAGGAATCATTACATATAGATGTGTAGTGGATTTTGTTAAATGATTTATATATTCAGCTCAATTTTAACACGATACTGAATATTATATAATTAAATATATAAACAAATAAGTCAAATCGAAACTTTCTACCTCGCAGCAAAAGTGTGCAATTTTTATAAAAATAAACTGGTATCACTGTAACCGAAAGTGATGAACGCCGCAACTTTAGCTATCGATAAGTTAATTAACCATGCGGGTTTGTCCGCCGAACCGGTTTGTAGTTTTTATTTAGATTTTATAATAAAGTATCACAAAAAGTAGTAAATTTTTTCTATTGTTGGTTTGTTATTACAGATTTCCAAGAGATCCTCTTAGGCTGCACACTTGGATTGTAGCTTGTAGGAACCATGAATCTGACACTGCAGTACCAACCTTGAACTTGTGGCAGGTAATGTTGGGCTGTAATTATATTTAGATTAAATATTTTTATTATTACCTTTATCACCAATATTATTCTACTTGAAAATATTTTATTAAGTTTACAAAAGCACTAACCTATCAAATTTAATTAATATATTTATATACCTATTATTGTAATTGTAAACTTAATGTAGTATAATTTTTGTACGCCATATCTTTATCATATATATATATATATATATATATATATATAACATGTAACATAACGCGCACTTTGAGAAAGTACTTTGTTCAGAATCGTTTACTGAATCGATTCCTATCATTTTTAATATAGGTAATTTTTTATCCCCAAAATAATTAAAACTAGTAAATTACAGTCACACTAAATCTGTACAGTCAAAACAAACTGAAATAGACCGTAACATAAGGCAATAACACTTTTAAGAGAGCAGTTTTATTTGTATTATTACTAGTTCTGTCATTCAATAAAAATAAAGAAAAATTAACTTTTTCAAGCACGTTAAAGTCTTTGCGTTCGTGGATTTGTACTGTGACCACAACATTCTTCAGGAATTAGTATAACTAATTTGATAAGTAATCAGTGCATAAAAATGTTTAACTAAAATTGTATGTATTATGATTATAACATAATATACTAATTGGGGTGTCTGAGGGTGTGCGTTAATTATGTTAGATATATAGCTTGAATCTTCTGACTAAAATAAAATTATTTATTTTAGGGTGATCGTGGTGATTGCACAATATCGTCTGCATCGAAAAAAGAAAACTGGATGTTCCGGCAAAATTCCATAAGTTATCTCGAAAGTCACAATTCTAAAAAAAATCCTTATATAGCCCGAACTAGCGGTTACTACTCCCACTGCGAATACCTACACTTAAACCAAGGAAAATTAAAATGAAAAAATGCCTTGACATAAAAACAATAGCATAAACAGGCTTCACAAGTTTGCAAGAAATACTATGCCCTAACACTTCACTATTACTCACCAAAAGCCTATCGCTATGTACGTAAAACTTTTGGAACATGTTTGCCTGCACCCGTACATTGACTAAATGGTACACTACCATCGATCGCCGACCAGGGTTTACTCAAGAAGCGCTGACGGCATTAAAATTGAGAGCGGAGAGTAACCCTGATAAAATTTTTATTGTACCTTGGTAATGGATGAAATGAAAATTAAGCAATTGACAGAATACCATGCTAGTATCCAAAGGCATTATGTGTATAACCAAAATGTCTTTTATAACTTGCACGGTACTCCGTCAATTGTTTTATTTTCATTTCATCTATCACTAATATACAACATAATTTCTTGTCAGGGTTACTCTCTAGTCTAAGTTTTAAAACAGTTAACGCTTTTTTTTTGTGTAGCCAAGTCGGCCGTAAATTGTACTGTACCACTTTGTTATAGTATGTGATGAAGGCAGACCAATTTCAAAACTTTTGATATTTCGCACATATTGTTAAGCGTTCGGTGAATAGTAATGTAAAGATAAAGCAAAACATCTTTCTGGGGAATACTTAGCCATAGGTAGATGTCACGTTTTATTTTTAAGCAGCTGTCCGCTTAAAGTTCACTTTGTTAAACTATTATATAGTGTAAAACTTTTTTGTTTTCCTAATAACTCTTGAAAATCAACAACTATTTTTAATTAGCGGTTTTGTGATTGAAGCTTTATAATAAAAACAAAAACATGGTTAACACCATCTGAGACGATAAACTGATAGGACTTTTCTTTTCAAAAAATCTGATTTTTAAAATAAGTTAACTAAACCTATTTCGATTTGTTAAATGTTTTAAATTTTATCCTGCATAATTTAAAATAAACCTGTAGCAATATAATAAACTTATTTTCAATAATTTCTAAGTTTTTTCCGAAGAACATTTCTAAATACTTTAAGGAAACAATTTCAAATAACACCTTGGTATTCTTAATCTATGTATTACTTATAATCAAATAAAAACTTATGAGGACTATGGTGATTTGTTTATCGATAAAAAAACATCGATATAGTCCACGCCTTACGTTGCTTACGCATTTAGACAGCGCCATCAGTATATCGACACGTGTACAATTTGATTATGCGTAAATGCGATGAACACAAACATAAATGCTGTAGTGTGTGTTTATAGTGACACGTTTATAGTGCGTTTGTAATTAAGTATACAGTTGTGTGGTTTTCTTGCGCGCCCCTGATGTTGACAGAATTTTCGTTTAGGAATTAACGCGCATGGCTTCTCCAGTTGGTTGAATACTCAAAGATGGTTCATAGTGCCAATGTCAATAAATTATAATCTGTGGTCAAACAATCGCACAGAGTAGATATTGTTGCCAATGATTTCCACAATGTTGCTGACTGAATTTTGTGTTATTTTAAATGTTACTTTTTCAATAGTCTGTGGAGTGTAGGTAAATGTAAAAAGCATTTATTTTATATGTTTAATGTTTCTTATATTGTAGCCCGTTTACACTCTCGCCTCGCGCCTCGTCTCGTACCTCGCCTCGCTACTTGCGTGTTGTTGCGAGGTAACGAGTGCCTGTTTACACTCTCGCGATGCGTTCGCGTTTTTTGTTTGCGTTGAGCCGGCAACGATGGAAGATGTCGAAATAATAGCGGCATCAAATCATGCCTTAATAAGTATTTATCAATGCTTGACCATTGTAAAAATAATTTTTATGCATGATAAGGCGCCGTATACCAACAAAAACGAGATTGCAAGTGTAAACACCACGCTCGCTTTCCATATTTATTGCCCTTAAATGTTTATGTTTGTATTGATTAAGTAAAAATTTATATTTCAACACTTATAAAGTCAACAAAACTTGTCATTGTCTTGACTTGTCAAAAATCAGAAGGACGTTTTCAATAATAAGATATATGAGATAAAACTGTTGCCTTCAATGTAAATAAATGATATATTTCCATAGTTTTGTTAACATTATGCTATCTCTGCCCCTATGTTAAATAAAAAATATATTATTATTAAAAAATACCAATAATTAATCAGCTCCAGTTAATCAAGTACACAAAATAATTATGGATTTACATACAACAATATTTGACTATGTGCAAGTAGTCTGACTTTATTTTCACTGGTCTTATGTTAGTTAACAAGATATTATTTTTATATTAAGTATCTGATGACTAAAAAAATATTTGTATTTAAAATTTTATGTGTGGTAGAGCCACGCTGTAGTTATATTAGTAGTATAGTTGTAGAACGAACAGGTCGGCTCAACTGGGGTGCTCTCAACACTCTCACAGAATACCAGCGTAAAATAGCAGCTTAATGCTGCTGTGTTTCGTAT